GAGCCTGATGACTGTGAAACAGTGGAAGATGCCGTCCCTCCTGAGACTGCTATGGCTGTTACTGAGGAAGATGTTTTGGGACAACAAGCATCCATCATCTATCATGATGTCTTGAAGCAGCTTCTACGCTACCTAATCCTACCTGTGGACAAATGCACAGCTAAGGACCCTGTCACAAAGGTGCCATGCAATGCAGCAAGACCCTTTGAAGTTTCCCTGAAAAGAAGATGCACAGCTGTAACTGCAGAATGGGTGAGTCAATGGTAATAATCCACAATACAAAATTAACACATGGGAATAATAATACACTATATATACGATAATATCACTGGGAGTAGCAAGAACTGCAATAGTTTTGTGGCAACAGTAGTAAGTAGTAGTAGGAGGAGCACAATATAGCAGAGGGAGTAGCGGCAACTGTGTATTCATAAGTAGCAGTCACATTATTTAATTTGGCTTATTTTGTTTTCCATAGATATGTCCAAATGGACACACTGTTTGGAAGTGGAGCTCCCAGCGCTACTTTAAATATGGTATGCTGGCGGGAGACTTCATGCTGGGTGTTAATATCTTGTTATCTGGAAACAACTTCCGAAAAGTGGCACTTCTCTTCAAATTTATGAATATGGGAATAATTGATCCCACAACATTCCACAAGATCCAAGATGGCTTCTGTGTGGATAACATTGCCAACTTCTGGAAGAAAGACACTGAAGGGATCATTAATGGATTAAAAGAGAAAGACCCTGTTGTGTTGCTTGGTGAGTGATTTACACTTTATTACATACAGTTACTAATGTGAATTTGTCACATGCCTTTCACAAGCACTTACTCTTTATTGGCCTTTTTTCTATGCAAAGGTGATGGTCGGATGGATAGTCCAGGATTTTGTGCACAGTACTGCACGTACACCATGATGGACAATGACACAAAGAAGATTGTGTACATGCACAACTCTGACAAACGAGAGACCCAAAGAAACTCTGTCACCATGGAGAAGCACTTTTCCTAAATGCATGTGAAACCCGTTAAAACGTTCTACTGCCTAAATAAAATATATATTATTATATTTTTACCTGTAGAACCGATAATCCGTGCCGCTACGCACACACGGCGTGCGATCCGCCAATCAAATCGCCGCGCGCAATACAAGCCTCCTGTGCGCTCTCCCTCTTCAGGAGTTGGGGAGAGGAGCCGCAGGACTGCTGACAGGTTAGCCACGTAAATTAAACTTTACTCGTCTTTGATGTATCCGCTCTAAACTAAAATTATAACTTACGTTTTAGAGGTCTCATTACCACCGCAGAGGACGTGTTCTAGCCGCGCAATCAATTCACAGTGGGATGGTGAGTCTGTTTTTTGTCTGTTGGTTGCTACCGAGTTGTAGCATAGCAACTTGCCGCTAGCATCTTGCACTTGTTGTTGTTACCTGCCGATTTTAATTCATAGCAAATGTCACTAATTGCAGGCCATTGTTTCACCTATGTGCTTTAACGATGCATTTAAAGGTCGTTTTTAAGATCTTTAATTACCACTCAAGTGCAATTGTTAGTGGTTTTTTTTTGTTTTGTATCAATGATACGCACTTTAAAATAGGAAATATTATTGAATGTGCACTTCATGAATATTTGTGTATACACTAAGACAGAGACTGAGATTTATTTATTGATTAATTATTGAAATATATATAGTATATATATATATAGCTAGCTAATTGAATTATTCCTCACGGTCCTGTCTTTTACTACACAGGCCATGTGCCCCAGTGGGTGCAAAACCCCCCTTCGATGGCGAGCTAGAAACAGCCACGAACCCACGTGAACCATATCACGTTACCATCACTACCATCATTCCCTCTGCTGTCTGGTAGGAGGCGTACAGCCAGTCGCTCCCCACCCTGTTTCCATTCACTACTCGCTACTCCTACGTTTTGGCTGAGGACAATACATTCCCGTCAAAAAAATTCTGGACTTTACATATTCATTACTACCCCGAAGGCGAGATAGTGACTCTGTGTACTGCCTATTGCAGTTAACGGTGTTGGAGAAAATATCACTGGACTGTATTGTTAAACTTTTCTTTTCATATGGCTCACATTCATTCTAAAGAAATTGTAATTGTACCGCAATATTACTGGTATTCAAGCTTGGATTCCCGAATCTGCAAATTGTAAATNGTACTTACATTTACTTACTTTTATGAACTTTTACGAACTTCTACTTAGTCAATTTTACTTACTTTTACTTACATACTTTTAATTACTTTTACTCTACTTTTACTTGCTTTTATTTACTTACTTTTACTTATTTACTTTTATGCACTTTTACTTACTTAATTTGACTGACTTTTATGTACTTACTTTTACTTACTTAATCTTAGTTATATAGTTTTTTTTTACTTTGACTTATTTACTTTGACTTTTCCTCCCGTGTTTTGTCAGTTTTCTATTGAAGGATTAGTGTGTTTTTCCTGCAGTACCTGTTTGAGCCACAAGAGGGCAGCACAGTGTGACATATGAAGTGACAGACTTTCTTTTCCAGTTTGGTGCTCATGTGTGAGCTGATGCTGCAGGGGGCGCTATTGTTACACGGCAGACTGTGGTTCTGTAGGAGGAGTTTTCCCAAATCCTTTTTCCTTTTCCTCTGGACACAGCAGCAGCAGAGTGTGAAAGGATCTGCGAAAGGCTCAAGCACAAACCACACAACCACAACCACTCAACACAACATTTATACAAGTGTCCCAGGAACAACAACACACATGCTAACAGTGCACTTCCTGATTCTCTGAGGGGAAATCACTTTAGAATCAGATACAGACAGAACACAGTGGACTTATTTTGACCTCAAGAGCTGCTTATACAATAGATCTGTACTGGGGAAAGACACGTTTGACTCAAATACATGCGGAAAAAATCAACTACTGGACCTTTAAGAGAATAAAGAAAGAGATTTAGTCCTGGTTTAGTCCTGTTTTAGGTTTAGACCTCCTGGTTTAGACCTGGTTTAGTCCTGGTTTAGACCTGGTTTAGTCCTGGTTTAGACCTGGTTTAGTTTTTAGTCCTGGTTTAGACCTGGTTTACCTGGTTTAGTCCTTGTTTAGTAGTTTAGTCCTGGTTTAGTCCTGGTTTAGACCTCCTGGTTTAGAGTCCTGGTTTAGACCTGGTTTAGTTAGTTCTTTTGGTTTAGTCCTGGTTTAGTCCTTGTTTAAGTCCTGGTTTAGTCCTTGTCCTTTGGTTTAGTCCTGGTTAACAAAGAACAAATAATTTAAAATACAACAATTAAATAAATAAATAAATAAATAATAAATAATATTAAAAGGCAAACCAAAAACAACGTGAGTAATTAATTGAAAAAAAAAAAAATCAACAAGAAGCAAAAAAAGAGAATAAAGTAAATAAAAGTGATAAAGTATTTGTCTGGAATGGTGCAGTAGTTTCTAATTTTCTATTGAGTTGTTTGTTTTCTTCTATTTTGTCTCTTACAGTGAGTCGTAAGTGAAGTTGTAAATACAAACTTTTTGCTTCAGCTTGGACTCTTTCTGTCATGATCCATGTCGTTGTGCTCTATGTTTTGTTTTTGTCGTGCTGCAAAATGACACAAGAAAAAAAAAAAAAATGTAATAGTGTGTTTTTGTAGTTAAATCAGAGCAGTCGTGTGTCGTGGACCCCACACTGAGACCCCCGCTGGAGGGACCCTGTTGGTGCTGTGACACGACGGGCGACACTTGGCACCGGTGCTGTTCTGAAACCAGGCTTCAGTGCCCGTCCCTAGTGTGGAATGCAGACATGATCAGAACATTCAGGGCAGGAGTTTTCCACACAACTTGGGGGAGGAGCTGGAGAGCGGTTGGACAGGTTTCCCTCCTGCTGCTCCCCTCACCTGTCCTCACCTGCCCTCACCTGTCCTCACCTGTCCTCACCTGTCCTCACCTGCCCTCACCTGCCCTCACCTGTCCTCACCTGTCCTCACCTGTCCTCACCTGCCCTCACCTGTCCTCAAAAGAACTCGCTTTTGTTACTTAAGTAAAAGTACAGATACTGGAGCAACAAATACTCAAGTAAAAGTAAAAGTATCACATGAAAAATCTACTTCAGTAAAAGTATTAAAGTACCTGTATTAAAAAGTACTTAAAGAGTAAAAAGTACAAGTATTTGACACAGACTTTGAGATGTAATAAAGCTTCAAATGTGTTGATTCTGATACAGATTTGTGCTGAGTTTTGTTCACTTGTTTTTTGCAGCTCTTTTTATTTGTATATTTGTGTTGCTCAAAGTTTGAACGTGTTAAAATAAACCCTCAGACTTTTCAGCAGCTCAAGAACTACAATCAAAAATACTTTTACTTTTCAGTCCTGTTCAAAAATGTACACACACACACACACACACACACACACACACACACACACACACACACACACACACACACACACACACACACACACACTGGAGTGTGAATCCTCTGCTTCTCATTGGTGGATGACTCTCTGGTCGGTTCCTGTATTCTGGTCCCTGATTGGTCGGGCTCCTCTACACCTGGCCAATCCCGCCTCACCTGAAGCCGCCTCCCCCTGTTGAAGCTGATGCTCTGCAGCTGTTCAGGGCTGCTGGACTTTGTCACACTCTCACATTTTGGGTGTGTCTCATTTAGTGTTACACAACTTTGGGTGTGAGACACTAGTTTAGTTTAGTTTAGTTTAGTTTAGTTTAGTCCTGGTTTGTGTCTTTTTAGTCGTCATTTAATTCTGTTTGTAGGTTTGTTTGACTTTATTGTGTTTTAGTTTTAGTTTTTTTTTTTTTATAAACCTACGTGACTCGTTTTTTCAGACACAAAACTCGTTACATGTTTAATCCTGTTATTCTGTTTTCTGTGGTTAATCGTGGACATATTTTAGATCCTTTTGTTTATTTATCTGTCACATTCCTGTTCATTAAATGACTTCTTTATTTTATCATTTTACATCTTGGTTTTTTTTTGTTCCCTCCCTGACTCTCCCTCGTATCAACGTCACAAACTCACAGAAGTCGTCAGACTGGATTCTTCCTGTTGATCAAAATCCCAACACTCCCTGGTGTTAAAGACGCGTTCCCTCTGCCTCTTTCAGCTGTTTCAAACAAGGTATGACTTTATTCTTTCTAAAGTGCATTTGTATTGTTTGTGTTTGTTATAAAAGCAGTATTTTCCTTCAGGTTTGCAGTAACTTGTAAAAGTCTTTGTCTCCTGCTCTAGTTTATTGTCTGAGTCTTAATGAAGAAACCAAGAGCTCCTTTTAGTCGTTCAAACATCATTCTGTTTATTTCATCATGTCAACACTTCATTGTGACGTTGTGTGTTGTTCAGTGTTGGGGAAGTGACTTTGAAAAACTCTTTAGTTACTCATTACTAGTTACTTGTTCAAAATGTAATCTATTACACTACTTAGTTAGTGCCTCAGCAAAGTCACTTAGTTCATCCCTCCCTCCATCACCAGAACAAAAGGGAAACTGGTCGCACTTCTGGCATCAGCTCCTAAAACTCTGTTTATCACTTTACACATAAACGCCAAACCAGAGTTTTACACAATCTCCACTTTCGCCTGAGTTTTTAGAAAGATTTGTTTTCAAAGGCAAATTTGCCGTTTGTGTGTAAAAGATGGAAACAAACAAAGGGAAATGCCCTTGTTTTAAAAAAATACCCGTGTACATGTAAACGAGGCCTGAAAAAGAAGAGTTTAATTTCTCTGAAAGTCCAGACTTTATTTCAGGTGTGAATAAAGACGAGCAAACTCTGATCCGAACCAAACAAGAGTCCGTTTCCAAACAGGTTTGACATAAACATGCAAGGGTGTTTTCACACCACTGGCTCGATTATTTGGTCCGCACCAGGAAATAAACTTCAATAAAATTCAACTGATGTGTCTCTGTTTCCCGGGAAAACAGCAATACCTCCAATTATCAATACTGATGTTCCCTGTTAAGACCACGAGCCGTCCTCATCTCAAACTATCACCATGAACTCATAAAACAGGAACATGTAGAACTTTGTACAAACTCACCACATCAGCCCAGAGCAGAAGCTCTGAGATGCAGCAGCAGCAACAGTGATAAAGAGGAGCACTCACCATAGCTCAGCCCCTCAGGACGGGGCTGAGGTCTGGTCCTTGGTCTGGTGTCGTCCTCCGAGCGCGTTGGTCAGATGGTCCAGAGACTCCGTCCTCCATGTGCTGGTTCCAGATGGGGGTGAGCAAGACCAGTGCACAGTGGACTGGGTCCAAACAGGTACGTTCCATTGTCTGTGCGCTGGTTCCGTGTGGGAAAAGGGAGAATGTTCTGTGGACTACAGGTCCAGAACCGTGGCTGGGTCTGAGGCAGTGCAGCATCTGGACAGAAGCGTGAGTCCAGTGTGGTTGGTTTGGTTGGTTCTATGTTTTTCTGAGCGTCTGTCCATCGTGCTCTTGGTTTGTCCCGGGAAAAGTTCTTCTCAGGCTCCTGACACCACTCTCCGCTCCAGCTCCTCTGAGCCTGGACAGAACCGGAGCTGCTCCTGCTGGATCAGGACTCTGGTTTGGATCTAGTCCGACTGTATTTCTCACACGAGGCTAAAAGCAGGACATTTTTAAAGTTGAATCAACTGAATTGGCTATTGCCTATTGCCATAAATTAATTTTGTTAATGAATAGCCTAAAATAACAAATGCTGTTGCTACATTAACACGGGGAACACTGGACCTCTCTGTGTGTGCAGGTCCTGAACAGAGGTACACATTCATAATATTGACTCACTCTGGAGCCACATGTTCACACCTTGGTTCTTGCTCTGATCATCGTGTATCACATTCTCTGTATTTGCCATTGTTGGCCACATATTTCAAAAATGAATTGCGGCTGCATCTGGAGAACAATCTGTTACTGCACTCGAGTCGTAAAGCGCGTCGTTTCAGGCAGAGGAGACGTGTGTCCTCCCATGTTGAATTTCAAATAATTTATTTGGACCTGCTGTCTATGGTTTGGACCCGAGTTCGCGTTCACTCCAGAGGAACCACACCAGAGTTTGGCATTTGGTGCGGATTCAAGCGAACCAGGACCACCTCTTTTTTGATGTCTCGGTCCACTTGTTTTAGTCCGGGTCCGAGTCTGATTGACGCTTTCACACCAACGAAAACAAACCAAGCTAAGAGCTTTTGGTTTGAATGGACTGTTGGGTGTGCACCAAATACTATCAGTGTGAAAGCACCCTAACTGTGTGTTCAGGAGAGAAACATTTCTGACATGTTTAAACATTCGTGTTGTTTGGGATGAATGTTTTGTGTGTTTTTCCTTTTGAAGCAAATGAACAGAGCATGGATCAGAGAAAACACAGAGAGGACGGAGCCCCTCCCTCTAAAACCACTCACCCCCCCAAAGCTCAGAGGTAAGGGACCATCTCTAACGCTCCACCACTGTTCTCCATGTCAGAGCTCAGACTAAAGCCACTGCTCCATCTGTGTCCACAGACCTGCTCCTGGGACCAGCGCCCACTCATTCAAGAGTGACGACTCTATGGAACATGGGATTACATTTAAAAGAAACATGATCCACAGTAAGTCAGACTCACAACACCTTATAACGTCACGACTTTATGTGAACAAACATTTTGATATAATGTGGGTGACGTGGTTTTAATGAAACTAAAAACATGTCCAGGAGTGGTCCACAGTTCACAGAGAATCACATTAACCTTTACATACTGTTCAGGTCAAATTTTACCCGTTTTGACATTCAACAGTAGAAAAAATACCCTAAGCATCATTCTTTTATCCTGAAATGTGATGACTTTTCCTAAATTTTGCCAAAATACACAAAAATGAAAATATTTTAAAATGTTATACTTTTGTACAGGTGCTACAAATTTTGAGACACTGAGGCTGTTTCGGGTCAATTTTGACCCGTATCTATTAAGATGGATTTTAGCTCTATCAGTGCAGGTGAAGCAAAATGGAAGTTTTAGAGAAACTTCAAACTGTGAAACTGCACAGACCATGTTTGTGTGCATATTTTTATGGCACAGTGGTGACAGAGTTCAAGAAGTCACTGTTTTGAGATTCCCCCATGCCCCAAATTCACAGAGACAGACGCCTGTTGGTTTTTGAAGGGGGAAAGGAGAATCTCAAAAAACTGAAAGGACTGATCATCCTGTTTATGGTGCACATAAGCAACACAATTCAATCAAGTGGGGGAGAGATCTTTTCTTCTAAGTTTGAGTAAGTTCACTCAGGACACCACAGTTGTCTCATACATGTAAAAGAAGAACAAGAATGTCATCCTTATGAGCACATTACATATGACTGCAGAGGTGAGCTCCATCATCATCATCATCAGTCATCATCATCATCATCATCATCAGTCATCATCATCATCAGTCATCATCGTCATCATCATCATCAGTCATCATCATCATCAGTCATCATCATCAGTCATCATCATCAGTCATCGTCATCATCATCATCATCATCATCATCATCATCATCATCATCATCATCATCAGTCATCATCAGTCATCATCATCATCAGTCATCATCAGTCATCATCATCATCATCATCATCATCATCATCATCATCAGTCATCATCATCATCAGTCATCATCATCATCATCATCAGTCATCATCATCATCATCGTCATCATCATCATCAGTCATCATCATCATCATCATCAGTCATCATCATCATCATCATCGTCGTCATCATCATCATCAGTCATCATCATCAGTCATCATCATCATCATCATCATCATCATCATCAGTCATCATCATCATCAGTCATCATCATCATCATCATCATCAGTCATCGTCATCATCATCATCATCAGTCATCATCATCATCATCATCAGTCATCATCATCATCATCATCATCATCATCATCAGTCATTATCATCATCAGTCATCGTCATCAGTCGTCATCAATCATCAGTCATCATTATCATCATCAGTCATCATTATCAATCATCAGTCATCATCAGTCATCATCATCCTTGACTACAATGCCAACAAAGGAGGAGTGGAAAACCTTGACAAAGTAACAAGCACAGCTGCAAGAGCAGAACCTCCCGCTGGCCTGCTTTTCTGGCCCGCTTTGTCTATGGAGTGAGCTGAACACGACCTGGAGGAGGTTCTTTTCTGGAGGAGCTTGGAAAGGCCCTTGTGGCTCCCTATATACAAAGGAGACACCAGCTATCCCACACAGCAGCTTCAGCAGCATTGGTGAGGCCAGTGCAGTGATCTGAACCTGACACTGATAAAGAAATCACACCAGAAACCAACACAAGGGCACAGAAGACAAGAAGATACAACTTTAGCCCTGCAAAGAAGAACTGCAAAACAGATACAACCTGCTGCAAATGTGGGAAACACAGAAACACAGTCCACACATGCAAAGTTTCCTACCACTCCTTTGAATGCACTGACTAGTTTGAAATAAGCATAAGGGCCGCAGTGGATAAACATGGATATATTATGAATTCCAACAGTTCCGGAATATTCATGTAATTTTCAAATGCAATAATATATATAAAAATCAGAATGGCTTTTATGTTTTTAGGTGTTTTGTAAAACAGGACTATGATACTTGTGATAGTAGATGTTTTTCTCCAAAAACGAGTGTTGTAAAACTTACAAAAATATGCTCTTCTTTCTCTCAGAAACATTATATTTATATATTACACTTATTTATTAATGTGGGACAGTCTATTTAGTCATTTTAAATAGATCTGTAGCTCAAAATTTGGTTTAGACACTTACTATGAAGGAATTCTTGTTCAGGGTCAAATTTGACCCGAACCATACTATGAAGGCTTCAGAAATGAAAAGTATGTAAGGGTTAAAATCAGGATAAGACACATAAGTCTGTTCTTTGTTCCATAATTAAAAGTTTCAAAATATATAAAGTGGATGTGTTTGTTGTTGAATGTGCCGTACTGAAGCGTCTGTGGTGAAGGCCTCATGAACACTTTGTAGAACCTCCTGAAGTATCTGACCTGAGTCAGAACAGTCCCATGTGTTTTACTGTGACTGAAGTGTGTTTTCTTCTGTGTCTCAGGATCCACCAGAAACATCCTCCGTCTGAACCTGGTCCCAGCTGTGAGTCCCTCAGGAGTGACTGGTCTATGAGAAGTCCAGTGAACTTCAGGAGAGAGCTGTGAGTGAGCGCTGTGTATTATGGTGCATGATATTATAAGTATATGGGGAATTATATCTGGTACACGGGTTATTTAGTGTTTCACAAATTCTGTCACTATAATTAAAAATGTAAAGTTTGTCCAAAACAGTGCTCTGATTTATCATTTAAATTTAAAGTCCAAATGTATTTTCCTGTTAATAAAATCCACCAGACTCCAGCACAGACCAGAGTCTTCTGAAGTGTCCCCCACCTGTGAGTCCCTCAGGAGTGACCGCTCTATGGGAGAGACACATCATTTTGCCACAGAGCCATGAGTTTCCTCAAGTGTTGAATAAAAGTGTTTAAATGAACCTAAGTGTTTCATGTGTCTCTGTCACAGAGGGGAGCAGCCGGGTCCAGAGGTCTCCAGTGGTCAGCACCATCAGACACAGCTGGACTCCATATTTAAGGTCTGTCATTCACTAAAGTTTGGAAATGTTCAGATGAATGAAGCTTGTGTCACACAGATCTGACACTGACTGCATTTGTGTTGTTTATAATGTGTCTGTTCAGCTTCTGGAGGAGGACATCTTCACTTTTGTCCAGAAGGAGCTGAAGAAGCTCCACAAGGTTCTGAGTACAGATGATCCAGAAGGTTTAGATCCTGTGGAGGATGAGGATGAAGAGCAGAGGAGCTGCAGTGAGGCTGTTCTAAAGATCACACTGAACTTCCTGAGGAGGAATGAAAGCAGAAGGAGCTGGCTGAGCGTCTGTGGAGCTGTAGGACCATTTAACACATTTAACAAGGTGCTCACAGTCATTTTATCTTCTCTGAGACTCAGGTCTGTATCTGTTGTCTTCATTCAGGGAGTGATTCTGGAGTTTGTCGGCGTAAACTGAAGTCTGACCTGCAGCAGAAGTTTGAGTGTGTGTTTGAGGGCATCGCTAAAGCAGGAAACTCCACCCTTCTGAATGAGATCTACACAGAGCTCTACATCACAGAGGGAGGGTCTTCAGAGGTCAACCAGGAACATGAGGTCAGACACATGGAAACAGCCTCCAGGACACCAGGCCAGCAGAGAGACAGCCATCACATGTGAAGACATGTTTAAAGGCCCAGCTCACACACATGGAGCCATCAGAACAGTGCTAACAAAGGGAGTGGCTGGCATCGGGAAAAACAGTGCTCACTCAGAAGTTCAGTCTGGACTGGGCTAAAGGTGAAGCCAACCAGGACATACAGCTGCTGTTCCCGTTCACTTTCAGAGCACTCAATGTGCTGAAGAAGAGAAGATTCAGCTTGGTGACACTTGTTGGTCACTTCTTTAGTCAAACACAAGCAGAACTCTGCAGCTTTGAAGACCTCCAGGTGCTCTTCATCTTTGACGGTCTGGACGAGTGCAGACCTCCTCTGGACTTCACCAAAACCGAGGCCCTGACCGACCCCACAGAGTCCGCCTCAGTGCACGTGCTGCTGGTGAACCTCATCAGGGGGAGCCTGCTTCCCTCCGCTCGCCTCTGGATAACCACACGACCCGCGGCGGCCAATCAGATCCCTGCTGAGTGCGTCTCCATGGTGACAGAGGTCAGAGGGTTCACCGACCCACAGAAGGAGCAGTACTTCAGGAAGAGGTTCAGAGATGAGGCCGACACAATCATCTCCCACATCAAGACGTCCAGAAGCCTCCACATCATGTGCCACCTGCCGATCTTCTGCTGGATCGCTGCGCAGTCCTGGAGCATCTGTTGAAAAGCAGAGGAGAGCTGCCCAAGACCCTGACTCAGATGTACATCCACTTTCTGGTGGTTCAGGCCAAAATTAAGAACATCAAGTATGAAGAAGGATCTGAGACAGACCCACACTGGAGTCCAGAGACCAGGAAGATGGTGGAGTCTTTGGGAAAACTGGCCTTTGAGCAGCTGCAGAAAGGAAACCTGATCTTCTACGAGAGTGACCTGAGCGAGTGTGGGCTGGACGCTGCAGCGGCCTCAGTGTACTCCGGAGTGTTCACACAGGTCTTTAGAGAGGAGCCAGGCCTGTACCAGGACAAGGTCTACTGCTTCATCCATCTGAGTGTGCAGGAGTTTCTGGCTGCTCTTCACGTCCATCAGATCTTCATCAACACTGGGATCAACCTGCTCTCAGAGAAACAAACATCATCACGGAAAAATGTGTTTACCAGTAAATCAGTGTCTTTTTACCAGACAGCTGTGGACCAGGCCTTACAGAGTCCAAATGGACACCTGGACCTGCTCCTCCGCTTCCTCTTGGGTCTTTCACTGTCGACCAATCAGAGCCTTCTACAAGGTCTGCTGACACAGACAGGAAGTAGCTCCCAGACCAAGCAGAAATCAGCTAAGTACATCAAGAAGAAACTGAAAGAGGATGTGTCTGCAGAGAGGAGCATCAACCTGCTCCA